TTCTTAATTACTTTTCCTTGGGCTCTTTCCCTGATTCTAATGCTTTGCTTTAATCAGCTCTTTCTCAATCTTTTCTGTTCTACTTTACTTGTTTTATCTTTTAATATTAAGAAATCGGTCGGGTTACGACAGAGTTTTTCCACAGAATATATTTTACGTCTCTTAACTATGCGAATCTCGTTGCTGGCGCAATCGTTCTGAGCGCCGTGGTTCGCCCCTCCACACCTCACGTGTCTCCTTACAATCGTTCTTTTTCTCTCTCGTCTCTCGCGCTACGTGGTTATCGGCGGGATGATTTGAATCAATCTTCCACACTCGGCCCTCCTGCGTATCGTCCGACTCGGATGATGATTCCGAACCTTTCCAATGTTTGATATACTCAACACAGGTAGTAGTGTGCTTAGGACCTTCGTACACTCCTTCTCGTACTACATCGTAGGTGTCGTTGCCTTTAACTTTCCCAATTCGATAAGGTCCAAGGTACTTGGGCTTCAATTTTAGTTCTGGCCCGAGTTGAGTCCGTTTTATGGCAACCAAATCTCTGACTTGGTATTGAGAAGCATAACGGCGTCGTTTATTGAATTGTTTCTGGTTCTCTTCCTGAACTTCAAGGATTTGTTTCCGAGCTTCTTCACGTATGCTCGTTCTTTCGGCCTCGAGATGTTCCATGATCTCATCGTTGAGAAGTTCAGCTAATTGATGATCGCATCCTTACTCCGGTTAATAGTTCAAATGGCGTCCGTTTGATACTGCGCTGATAAGTGGAATTTATAATCCGTTGAACTGCAGCCACATATTGATACCATTTTGTTGGATCTTCAGCCGAAAGCTTAGCAAGAACGTTCACAACGGTGGCGTTAATCCTCTCAACTTTATTTCCATTCTCTTACGTCCATTTGCCCTTGGTAGGCCTGTGGTGACGAATCTTAATTCAATGTTTTCTTTTAAACAGTAATCTTTAAATTGTTGCGACGTGAATGCGGTTCCTCTGTCCGTTATTATTTGAAATGGGTTACCAAAAGTCGTTTTTTTGTATCTCCAGTTTGGTTATTACCTCGGTACTTGTAGTAGATTTAACTGGGTACAGCCATACGAACTTTGTGAAACTATCCACAATCACGAGAAGGTGCTGGTAGCCCTTGTGTGTTGACTCCAACGGCCCGACATGATCTATGCGAAACGTATTCAAGGGTAGGCTTTCCTTGAATAGCAGGTGAAGAAAACCTTCTTTCTTTCCAGCCTTCCTGTTGATGATAATGCATTTGATGCAATTGTCAATGACGCGTGTAACCTTAGTACTCAAGTTCGGTATATAGTACTCTTGCTTAATAGCTTCATCCGTCCTCTTTGTGGAGTAATGTCCTTTTCCATGCGCGTCTTTGATAATCTCAGTTTGTAATTCCTTCAGTATTACTAATAGATCGCGTCCATTGCAAAATTTAAACAAAACTCCATCGATAAGAGTATAGTCTTCATACGGCTTTTCTTTCAGGATTTCATTGATAGCTCTAACTCCGTCGTCTTTCTGTTGTGCTTTTTTTATCCGTGTAGTTAGTTCAGTTGCTACCGCATACAATACTGGGAACCGGCTTAAAGCGTCCACGTGTCTCATTGTAGTCCCTGAACGATGTCTGATAGTGTAGTCAAACTCTGTTAACATCAATGCCCATCTGGCGATTCTCGGCACGATATCTTTTTTATCCATAGTTTGTTGGAAAGCCGAGCAATCTGTAATTATTTCAAAATGAATCCCAAGCAAGTATACTCGGAACTTTTTCAAAGCTACGACAACGGCTAATACTTCAAGATCATAACTACTATACTTAGCTTCGGCAGGAGTCGTCCTTTTGCTCATGTAATGAACTGGATGCATTTTTCCATCTTCAGGTAGTTTTTGTAAAAACACAGCTCCATATCCATGTTTACTCGCATCTGTGTGTAGTTCCGTCTTAAAATCTGGATTGTATGTCTGCAGGACTGGTTCTTTCGACAGTTCCTCTTTCAGTCTATTATAAGCCATTCGTTGTTCTCATTCAAACTTGAAGCTAACGTCTTTCTTGAACAAATCGCTAAGTGGCTTAGCGATAAGAGAATATCCAGGAATGAACTTCCTAAAATATCCAGTAAGATCTAAGAAGCTCTGTAATTGCTTATAGTTTTTTGGTTCTGGAAATTTAGCAACAGCTAGTGTCTTTCCTGGTGATGGGGAAATTGATCCATCCTCAATTATATAGCCTAGAAACTCATTTCGCTTC